GTGCCCAAAGACTGCCTATTATAGAAACACTAGATTAAACATACAGTAACTCTCCTAAAGGAATAAGAAATACATTGATTCACTAGCTTAACTGTCATCTGAGTATTTCTGGTCTTACACAACTTGTGCAGAAAAGGAGAAGAAGAATCCTACCTAACCCTAACGCTAGTCATATCTTCATGCCAAGCTGTACAATTGTTAACAGAAAGTAAAATGACAGATCATTGTAATGCATGAACAAAAATTTAATAGCACTAGAACAATTAAGAAGCCATATCTAGCAATATATTTAAAAGAGAATACATTATGCCCAAAGTATAGCTTATTTATTCAAAGACTGAAAAATGGCTTAACACTTAATAATCCTAAAAATTTACAACAATGATAGAAAATAAGAAAATCAATTTCACTAAATGCAAAAAATAAATATTTTAATTACAAATTTTTATTAGCACATCATAAATAGAAAATATGTGTCTGATAAAAGCATGTTAGCACCTCTAAACAAAACCAAACAAACCTACAAACATCATTTTTAATGGTAAAATATTAAACATATTTTTACTAAAGTAGAAACAAAAAGTCCGCTATCATTATTTATATTCAGGATTAGATAAGCAAATAAACAAGAGGTAGAAAACTTGAAGAGAAAATAAAAGTTGTTCTTGTAAAATCAAACTTAGCATATTCAAAATACTATCTTTTCTAATTGCACTCACAGTTATGACTTACATTATTACACTTACTATATGACTAGAATAAGGGAGAATAAATATAGCTCTTGTTTTCAAAGAAATTCAGTTCTATTTCAAGTTAAGCCTAAATAAATTTAAAATTATTTAAAGCAGCTGAATGTAAAACATTGTGTGATAGAGATGGGTTAGTTAAGGAAGTCTTAGAGAAAGTGTTTCTTAGCCTAGTTTTGAAGAGAGGAATTATCCTCAGCAAACCTGAATGATGGACATAATCTGATCAATTGTAACAGGCACATTGCTAGTACTGGATTTAGAGCTGCAGACAAATGGAGTTGGTCCCTGCTCTCATTAACTCATAGACCAGTAGATGTAATAGGGGTCATTGCAGCAGAATAATGTCTTCATTAAAATGGAATCCGGAAGACACTGCTCTGTATTTTTATAATGATATAATGAGAAGCCCACAGAAAAACACCTTAGCTCAGTTCATTACAATATTTTTGCCACTTAGTTTGGCATACTATGTGAAAATTTATAACTAAAGCATTTTCTTTTTCATCAAAAATGATTCAAGTCTTATTTCCTGGAAATAGTAAGGCGAATTTTGTCAAATTTCTTCAATTTGTCTTCTGTTTATTTCTTTTTTGTTGTTGTTTTTTATTCTGATTATGTAGACTGCTAAGGGCAAATATTTTGATTTTAGAAATTACTCTCAATAGAGTATGTTTAAGTTTTGTTTTACTAAGATGTGGAGCGTTGGACACAATTACTGTTGCCAATAAGAATTAATAGCATTTCCTTTAAAATACATATCAATAATTTGTAATATTTCAATAGTTAATATTTTAGTTTGAGTGAAAATATTTTAACCCAAAACCAACATTGATTTGAAAATTGCAAAGAAAATATTTCTATAACTGACTTCCTCTCAGTCCTTATCTCTCTCTATGTATATACACATATATGTATAGATTTCATATCATCCTACTCTTCTTGTTATAGAAAATTGTGATTAGGAAGGTTGTTGTGAAATAGCCAGTTCTGAATCTGGTAGACGTTTTGCATCAATTTCTTCTGTCTTCAAGCAGTTATTCAATGATTAGTAATAGCTCGGAGCCACGGGGTAAGTTGGGGGAAATGAACTGATTCCAACAGACTGATTTGCTTCCCTTCCCCACAATTGTGAAAGATCATCATTTTATCTATATTCATAAATCAATTTAAGAACAAAAGCAAAACTCTACCGCAAATTTTGTTTTGCTCCCCTTTGATGGAGTTTCATTTCAGCAAGTCATAGAACAGTACTCTCATTGAGTTTCATACGTATACCCAGATGTGTTTTGAGGTCTCTAAGGGCAAGGAATGATATAGGCTTTGTCTTGAAGAAGCTAATCGTGTCATTTATAAATCAAAATACCCATGAAAGAGCATGTGAACTTGAGTACAAATACACAGCCTAACATGCAGATGAGCTGGCATCTTATGAATAATTTCCCACTGTATTTAATGCATGCTAGAACTAGTTCTCAGCACTATCGCAGAGTCTCTTTTATGTTACCCTACTTATCATAATCAAAATCACAAGGGGAACTCTTAAGTCAAGATACTGCTTTCCAAGGTAGACGATTTGCGGTTCTGTTTACTCTCTGTACATTTGGTTTGCTGAATCTTTGAACTTAATGCAAAGCACATTTTCAGACTTGCCCATCTTAACTGATGTGTTTACAAATACCTAAATTATAGAGTTAAATGCAGCCTGATCTGATTTTTTGAATGGTCATGGGGCTTTGACTTAATTACTGGTTTGATTTTTCAGCTACTTTTATTTCTCATGCCAAACATTCTACTAGACATGCTAATGAGAAATGAAATGGTCACAAGGCTGGGAGCCAGAAGGAAAGGAGTGATAAGCAAAGGTCTGAGTAGTACAAAAATTCAGTGACTGGCCAATGTTATTGGGAACTGGTGGTGTGAGGCAAATATCTGTGACTACATTTGAAGGTTGCATTGAATTTTGGTAGCATATAATTTTTCCCAAAATTGTATTAAGGAAGGAAGACTGAAACTGATGGTTACTTATGAAAACATGCAAATTCAGGAACTCATTCATTCATTCATTTTATTTCAAGCCAGGTCTCTGGGATTCGTCTTTAGGCATTTGATACTAGTTCAGGAGAGATCAAAGATTCCAAGAAAATGGCAAATCCTCCCTTTTTTTTCTAAATATTTTCAAATCAAAGATTAGTTATAATTTTGAAAAAGCACATTCTGAAAGTTCAATGTTTTGGCTAAACCAGCTTTTCAGATATTACTGTATTAACTAGATATCTGTAATGTAGCACCTAAAAAAATGGAAATAAGCCAGTGTCTTATCAATGGTGTCAGTTAATTATAATGAAAATTAGCTCAGAAATTTTATTGAATTTAAATAGCTTTTTCTCACCTTAATAAGTAAGACCTTCTTTCTTGCAAATATTCAAGTTACTAGACAGAGTAAGCATAACCTTCCTGGTGTTGATTCATAACTTCTAACCAGTATAAATTAAGAGTTTGCAACTATGAAGGAAAAAAAAACAAGGAAAAAAAGCCATTTTCTAGCATCAGACTGACAAACTAGCCCTCGTGATATAGAAGGCACATATGACAGAAAATCATAATTGTGGTATACAATGAGGTGTGCGTGGATGTTTGTTAAAAATCTATTATTTGCTCAAGGTCTTTCAGCAGTGCTGTGAAGACTTAAGTCAAGTCTTCTGGACTTGGAAAAGGAGTGATTTTCTTTCTCGTGATATGATGGATTTATAATTAAAACAACTTTATACCAGCAATAAAGTTAGAATTACAGTGTGGTATGATGTTTAGGCTTTAAAATCGGAGAGAGAGAGCCACGTTTAAGATCTGCTTGACTGCTAGCTAACGGTGCTACTTCAACAAGTGATTTAAATCTGCTTGCTTTCAGATAAGAAAACAGTAAAATAGGAATAATGCATATAACTAAAACATAAACATGCTCTGAGGGTTAAGTGATATAACTTATCACTTAACATACCATTCAAGTACCTAATTATTGTTACACACTTCTAATTATGGAAAAAACTTTATTAGTATTTCCTATATATCAGAACATTCATTGTTTGTATTTCTCTTTCTTTTTGAAATGTTTACTTCGTATTCCTTATTATTATAGTTTTTATCACAATGTATAGTTATATTTTCAGCTTTGTTCACATAATATTACACTGTAACAATTGTCTAAAGTGCAAGTCTTCAGAGCCATCATTTTAATTTGAAATAATCCATAGAATTGACACTCGACAATTAACTAAATCATTACCTATAGTTGAACATTCCTTCTACTCATAGCTTTGCATATCCAGTGTACTTAGTACCTCTGCATCTGATGTTTTTTCATATTTTAATTCATCCTCTTAGTACAAATTTCCAGAATTGACAGCATAGTGTGTTCCATGTTGCAACTTTTGGCTTTATGACTTGTTAGCTATGTGATACAGAGCAAGTTAATTAACCTCTGTCTCAGTTTTCTCATGTGTAAAATGGAAATGATAATAATTAATATGTTAATATATATAAAATAATTAATCCGGTATCTTGCACATAATAAATGCTGTATAAATGCACAAAAATGATGGGGTAAAGGTTTAATAGTATTTAAGACCATTAATGGTTATAATAAATTACTGCCAACAGCAATATTAATTTTAGTGTCTTTCTTTTAAACATAACATGGATTTTATAATTTTAATGTATTAATCAAATACAGGTAAAAAAGGTTATAATTATTATTTTTAATTATTTTACATAACTTACATGTAGAATCCGAGAAGGCAGGAATTTTGATCTGTGGCTTCCAATTAGCCAGTGCAAAAGAGAATACCTAGCAGACACTTCTTTAAATACTCACAAAACAATAAATGTTGACTCCCTAACTTTATTTTAGACTTGAAGGCAGAAATACTTGATTCCGAAGATTAGCTAAGATACAATTAAAAGGAGAAATGTCCATTGTTTCAAAGTTCACTGAAATCCCTGCCAAATAAGCTTATATACTATAGGTTGTGGGCCTCTGTTCTGAAAACCAATCTTCCCCATTTTCCTTAAGTTTTATTTCCTATTGAAACCTAAGAATTTTTTTTTAATTGCAACTTCTAAAATTTGGAATACCAGAAAAGTTCTTAAAGCTTTACATTCATCAGGCTTATCAGAGTGTATTATATATGTTCATTGCATGTTATTTGTTGAACAGTACTGAATATATATTTAATATATTGTTTTCCATCTATCTAGGTAAGCCAGTTATGATTGTCACAGAATACATGGAGAATGGTTCCTTGGACAGTTTCTTACGTGTAAGTAAAATGCATATACATACATATACTCATATGTAAACTGCTGAAAATGTTAGAGACACTCTCCAATATTGTGCTAAACAATTAAAGTAATCTAACTTTAAAGTAAAACTGCAGCTTTCTGAGGCTAACTAGCAAGAGGAAGATTGTAAAATTGCATCTTTATTTTGCAGCATCCAAATGTTAATGATTTATGTTTTTAAAGCAAATTTGTGCGTTCTTCTTAGCCTTTTTATACTGCCAAGATTCACATTAGTTAAAATAAAAATAATCCTGAAGCAAGACATAAAAAATTGATATTAGAATTATTCCCTTTTCTTTACTTAAAATAATCTCAGTGTGATATAGCATAGATCATCTTCTACCTTTCACACAGTGCTGTCTACTCAGATATTAAACGTGCTATAATGCTAAAAGTGTATATTCTAAGTTTAGACATATATGACTTTGTATATATTTATACATATTTAATTCTTTAAACTTAGAAACTTTATACTTTAATATATTTTGACATACTATATTTCAACACAGTATAGTGAATATATAATTAACATACAGTTCAACAAATATTATGTTCAAAATTTTTTATGAAGTTCAAGACATTGGCAATTACCAGTCATTGCGGGGATAAGGAAAGACATTAGCACTATCTTCAAAGTACTATATAAATTGAGATAGAGAAAGGATTAGATAGATAGATAAAATAGTAGTATCATTCAATATCATTGAATAAATACTGCTTTTTCTAAGAATGAAAAAGGATACACTTTATTTAAATATTTACTAACTGGCTATCACGGTGGCTCACACCTGTAATCTCAGCACTTTGGGAAGCAGAGGCCAGATGATTACCTGAGCCCAGGAGTTCAAGACCAGCTTGTGCAAATGGCATGACCTCATCTCTAAAATAAATTAAAAAATTAGCCAGGTGTGGTGGTGCATGCCTGTAGTTCCAGCTACCTGGAAGACAGAGGAGGAAGGGTAGCCTGAGCCCAGAGGGTCAAGGCTGCAGTAGCCATGGTCGTGTCACTGTGCCAGCCTGGGTGACAGAGTGAAATTCTGACTCAAAAATAAATAAATAGTCACTAGCCAAATACATTTTTAGTAGCAATTAGTTTCTCAAACATATTTCAAAAATAAGTGTTTTCCAAATCAAGTGATTTAAACTATTGTAACAAATGTTCTTTTAAAATTATTGTTTGTATAGATGTAATTAGACTTGGAAAATGATACCTTTTTAATTATCTATACATAAAAAACCATATATTTCTATTTTAACCCAGGATTAAATTAGTTTGGAAGCTTTTCAGAAACCAGGATTATATGATTCTGTCTCCTATTGCTTTTTATTCTATGACTTTCAACTCATGATTGGGTAGAAACAAACATATTCAATAAATATTTTTAAACAAATATGAGCTAATTATTTATGATGATAATTAAAATCTAGCATCCACCTTATTTCAAGAAATTCATAAAATATCTGGAAATTAAGAAAGAAGAATGAAAATTCAATCAAACAAGTATCAGCTTAAAATAGTCACTAGATTTATTTCATTTTGTTGTTTTTAGCCTTAATGATTCTGAGGAGGAATTTCAAGTCCAGGAAAGCCTTAGTTTTGAACTGGAAGTCACAGAATATTAGGGCACCTATTGTGAGAAAATATTTGGTAATCCTGCCACTGTTATTTTGTTTTCTATCCACATATCTTAGTTGTGGGTACTTCGAACGAAAATGTGTGTAGCCAGTCTTGTTACAAAATTCAGTATGTGCATTTGTAACCCAAAACATATATCTGTAGGACATAGGAATCCTTCTTAATTGTGTTATTTGAAACGATTCACAGAAACATGATGCACAGTTTACGGTTATCCAGCTAGTGGGGATGCTTCGGGGAATAGCATCCGGCATGAAGTACCTGTCGGACATGGGCTATGTGCACCGCGACCTCGCTGCTCGGAACATCTTGATTAACAGTAATTTGGTGTGCAAGGTTTCCGATTTTGGACTTTCACGTGTTCTAGAGGATGACCCAGAAGCTGCTTACACAACAAGAGTGAGTCACTCAAGATTCCCCTCCTTTTTCTTGTCTCATGTTGACTTGGAAAAACATAGAAATCATGACCCGAAATGCTTTGTCAGTCATGTTTTCTACAAAAGGAAATGTTTCTTAAAATTGAAACATTATTACTTATTCAGAGAAAATAAGTAATCACTGTTTAAAATGTAATCATTTTAATGTTAAAATTCCATACCTTGGTTTAATGCTTCCCCAAAAGCAATAAGGCTCTCACAGGACTAATATCTTGGCATTTTTATGTTTACCTATCTTTTTTTATCATGGGTGAGTCACCTCTAGTAAGCAGATTGGATACATTCTTAGAATCTCTATCCTACTAGATGTATTTTAAAACCACTTTTAAAAATCTATGTTTACATTAGTAACACCTGTTCATATTACAAAAATTTTTAAATGGAATAATGAACAAGAGAAAGGTGGTCCACAAGTGTGCCATCCACAGAAAACATTTGTAACTTTGTGAGTTGGTTCTTCCAGACTTTTTTACACCTATGTCTACAGACATGTGCATGAATATATTATTAAAATAAGATTATTTCGAATACTCTTCTATACCATTTTTCTCCTTACCAGAATACTTCTTGAATATATTTCATGACAATAAATAATCTTTAAATTTTCATTTTTAGTTGCTTGATGTGTTCTATCTTCTGATTGTACCATTTTTTAAAGCAAACCTTTATTTGTGAACCTATTATTATTATACCTAGTTTTTCAGTATTTTCTACAAATATGTAAATGGTCCATCTGCATTCATAACCGTTTGAGCCTCTTGATTTCCTTAAGATATATTTGTAAAAGTGAATTTTCTATGTCAGAGTGTATACTTATTTTAATAGCATACTTCACTGCACTCCTGATAAAACTGGGTATTACCATTAATCTTACTGTCTACTCATCAGTGAGAAGAAATGGATCTAATTGCTTTAATCTGCATCTGTTTAATTCAAAATGCATTTTCATTTCTAAATATATTTATTGATTATATTTATATATATATTTTTATATATATTTCTTTGAAATCCCATTTCTTTAGAGAAAATTTGCTTCATGCTAAAAATTTGGACAATAGAAAGCAGCCGGGCTCGGTGGCTCAGCCTGTCATCCCGCGCCTTTGGGAGGCTGAGGTGAGTGGATTGCCTGAGCCCGCGGGTTCGAGACCCACCTGGGCAGCAAGACCTCATCTCTACAATAAATCAAAAAATCAACCGGGCGTGGTAGCGCATGCCTGTAATTCCAGCTACTTGGAAAGCTGAGGCGGAAGGATCACCGGAGCCCCACAGGTTGAGGCTGCGGTGGCCAGAAGCGGCCACTGCACTCCAGTCTGGGCGACAAAGTGAGACTCCAACTCAAAAAAAAAAAAAAAAAAAAAGAAATAAGCACAAAGGAAATGAATAATAGTTATTACTAATAATACTCAAAGATGACCAGCATTACCATTTTAATTTTATCTTTTCAAAATATTTTTCTATGCATTGTCATATATGAGCAATTCCCTGTTTGACATATAGTTATAAAAATGAGATCATACTACGTATACTGATAAATAAAATGATTTCAACTTACTAATAAATCCAATATTTCTATATATATTCAATATTGTTTTATGATCTTTGTTTTAACTTAAAAATATAAAATTTTCAAGATGATCATTTTTTATAATGTTATTTAATAATGTATAGAATTTTATTTTATTCATGTAGATAGCTTAATTAAACAATGACTGTTAATTGGGCAAAATTCCAATGCTTTTGATGTTCATTCTAATACATCTTGTATACACACACATATATTTTATTTCTATTTATGATTAACTCAAGATAAATTTCTAGAATTAACATTGTTGAATCAAAATGCATGAAAATATGTGAGAATTTTTGGTTGAAAAATTATTCAATTGTCTTTGACATAGCTTGTTATCAATTTTCACTCCTAGTTGCAGTATATAAACGAGTCTGTTTCTTCATATTCTCACGAGCCAAGAGAATGGGTAGTTTTCAAAGAGAGTAGATTTCTGCTATTTTCTTCTTGCTAACTTCAAGTTTATTTCTGATTAAAAAAAAATCATTCTTTTTGGAAATCACCTATCTTGACAACTCCAATTACCAAGATTGTCATATGACATCTATATCCCACTCTGAGAAAGAGCGTAATATGTGAAACTGAGTTTAATCTATAGGTAAAGCCATGATAACAGAACCACTGAAATACAGTAGTACAATGCCTCTGGGGTATTCCTCGATGCATTGATTCCAGAGTTGGGACTCTCCTGATGACTTCATGCATTACACCCTTTTTGTTCTTCCTATTTTCAAGTATATTCTGTAGTGGATTCTCTTTGCTCATAAAGCTAAGGTTTTTTTGTATTTTTTTTAACATGGTTTCTGCATAAAAATGTGTTCTTAGGCACATTATTCATTAGGGTAAGAGCATGAGAAACAAAAAGAAATTTTATATCTTGTAGCTAGTTGAATTAAATTTATGAATGGCAACCATATAGCTCTGAACATTTGATTAAAATGCAAAACATGGGGTAAATACTTTGAAACTGCTTTTTAGTGCCTCTCCTCTGATCGCCAGAAAAGTCAGTCAGCCAATGCATATGCAACAAAGCCTCATTTTTATGACTAAACTACCAAATCAGGTGACAATACATGCAAGTCATGCTAACATATGTATTGTCCTGAGACACATTTTTCATTCTACTCACTACTACTCTGCTTTCTAGAGATACCCTTCACAACCTTCTACTACCTTAAGAGCTTCCAACAGTTCATGAAGAATATCAAGCCACGCTTGTGTTGTCTCTGTTGTTACAACAATCACATTATTCGAGAAATACCTCTAGTCTTAATAAACACTCTTTGATAAGAGGATTTTATTTGAAATGTTCAATTTCTGGTTATTCAGTCAGGTTCCAGGCTCTTTACATATGTATTTAATTATTACATGAGAACATCCTTGCCCGAAATACTAGTTTTGATTTCTAGGATACTCGAAATAACAGTTTATCTGGTAGGAAAGTGAAAAATGCACCCAAATTTAGATCATCCATTCCCTGGAGAATATATCAGGTTAACTTTCAGTGTTTCATTTTCACAGACTGTTACTTTGTCAGGACCTCCTGACGACCAACTCTTTGACTTTTCTGGAAGAAAGATGTTGCTGTGTCAAAATTGCTCTTGAGCTTTTCTGAACTAAAAGTGCAACAGGCTCTTTGCATTTGTATTTCAGTCTTAGAAGATTAAAAACCACACTGAACAAATGGGCTCATTCAATACCAATAAATAGCTATTTAGAGTTCTTCAGTATTCATCCTTGTATTTTCTTGGAACTTTCTCAAAATATCCATGGGGCTCCTGGCTTCCTTCCGAGAAGCTATAATTTGCATGTGCATTTCTAGAGTAATTTAGAAATCGTTGACTTAATCTTCCACAATAAGCCTTGTTTAGTACAATGAGTTTATAATTTGCCCTTAAATATGAGGTATGGTTATAAAACTATAGGACTTCTGTTTTTTTTAAATAAACACACCAAATCAGCTAAATTAGTTGCCGTTCTAAATTTTCTGTCTGCAAATATGTACTTACTGCAGGAACACTGATATTGCACAAAACATTTTTGGAATTATTTTAAAATCTAGATTGTGACTGACACCATTAACCAATAGTTTTTAAACATATGGTGTTTTGGAAGATTTGGCCCAGTTAAAAATCTCTGGTCTCAATAAGTTACAGTTTAATAAATAAGAAAACTATCAAACTGTTGTGTATATGGTAATGTCCACTAACCCTAACCCTTAGCTTAGACTTCCACCTTGTTTATTTGGTTTAGTATGCTATGATTATGGTTATTTTGGAAAAACAAGTTTACTATTTGAAACAATGTGCCAAGGCATTCTTTTTTTGTTAACAACTTCTGGCTATCTGCTTGAAAAGTCAGTCAAATTACTTTAATAACATTTAGCACATTTCATCTAGTGTCTGGAGATTCTACAATTTGGAGAATAACATTCAATGCCTGAATGCATTAAACCTTTAAGGTAGTGGGTAATTGCATCAAAAAATCATGAGAGGCATTTGATTCAATGTCAATGACTAAATATAGGGTGTCTGCTCCGCTCATCTTTAAAACAACTCTGTGAGCAACAGCCAGGATAGTACAGTGTATAGACATTATATATTCTAATTCTGTACTTAAACATTCTTAAACTAGGGGGGAGTATTTGAGGAGTTGAGAAAGTACCTAACCTCAAAACTTAAAACAATTTATTAGACATTTTCCCATACTGTTTTTATGCTGCCTTAAGCATATCACAAGTTTTCCTTTCCAACATCCTCAATAGAATACTTGGTAGGAAAGAGTCAGCTAAAGTAGTAATAAACATTTTTACAAGTGTGCATTTTCTCTTTTTCATAAGGATATTGTATAAGGAATTTGATTTTTTTCAATACTCACGTCTAGTTATGTCTCCTCATTTCTCACTACTGAGTTATGCAGAAATTCCAAATGTTGACATTTTCCATTATACAATATTATTTTATATCCCATAACCTCTGTAAAATTCCATTGTACACTCATGGGACGTTGCAAATGAAAAAGGCTGTACAGTTTTAGTACTATTTTGAAAATAGTTTCTATCTCATGAAGTACTGAAATGTTCTTGAGGGCCCCCATGGATGCCTAGATGACATATTGAAAACCACTGTTATAGATACTATATCAGGAAAAACACCTTAAAAATGAAGTAAATATTTCAGTAGTTATTCAATGATATAAATCTAAATTATGACGTAGTTTTATGTGACAGAATATATTTTAAAGAAATAGCCTTGAAAGCCTAACTGCAGCAGCATACCAAAGTTTGCGAATCTTCTTGAAAGTCCCTGGACTTCCTTTGGGATGGAGATGATCACAGGATCTAGTTCCACAAATTTACATCATCAAAGACGTTTTGTTGTGGAAAAACAAAACAA